TTTTTTTTTTTTTTTTTTTTTTTTTTACTTAAAGTGACCTGGGCTGGAGCCCACCCCAGCCTTTGGGGTGGCTCCGCCCCTGGGCAATGGTATATGTATAATTATAGTTAACAAGATTAGTTAAAATTTTCATTTAGTCAAATTTTAGTGATACATTTGTTTGTATCTCAACCGTCCATCTTATTCACACGTTGTAGATGTAGAAAAAAGTTATACAATTTTTCCATAAAACGATCCTCATACACTTGCCGTAAATACATATAACTGCATTCTTTTACAAATTATTATTTTTAAAATCAACAAATTATATTATTGTACATTAACTATATCAAACTTTAGAGTAGACTTTCCATCAGTAGTTAGGAGTTAGGATTACAACACTTTTATTATAATAAATAATAATGCAAGACGCAGCAGTGACGTGAATTTGAAACGACCAATGAAGCTCTATCCACAATTGAGCTTCCAAACACGTCCGTGCAATCATAACAAAATATTGACATGTCAATGGATAAGGATAAAAGAAAAGGGCATAAATGTCATTCAATTACTATATCCGTAAATATAGAGGTCAGGCTAAAATTTTATTTGATGTCAACCTCGGCAACTAAAATTATAGTAGTATATTTTATATTTAGTAATTATATTTATTAGTATTAATTTTGTAAATATAAAACTAATAGTTCCGCTTACTTGCCCACGATGGGCAGTGCCCACCACTTTATTTTACATAAAAAAACATATTCTGAGAATACGTTTTTCAATTAATTTAATTGAAAAACGTATTCTCAAAATACGTTTTTCATATAAAATAAAGTGGTGGGCCCACCGTGAGCAGGAGATCAAAATTTATAAAACTAATTGTAAATATAAAACTATCCCTCATTTTATGATCTTCAATTTATATTAACATCTAAATAAAACTAAATATATATCTTTTTATAAATATAAGAGTTAATTACATAAAAAAACCCCAACCTTTTATTTAATTGCAAATAAAACTCAACCTTTTCAATATTAAATTTTTATTAAGTGTTGCAATTTGGTCTCACCCCGGACCTCCGCCAACCACCACCAGCCACCGGCTGTGGTGCGGCGAGCGAGACAAAATTGCAATACATAATAAAAGTTTGGTATTTTTTTGGCACATGAAAAGATTGAGTTTTATTTGCAATTAAACAAGAAGTTGATGTTTTTTTATGCAATTAACCTTAAATATATTTTTAATGCAAAATATAAATAATTATTTATCAACATAATCAAGTTTATGCATTAAATTTATTATATAATAAAATAGAAATATTATAATATATAATTTTAAATAAACATAATAATTCAATACTAGCATGTTGTATTGTTACTTGTTAATTGTTATATAACTAAATTGAGGGTGTATATTATTAATAAATGAATATTTCTCTTATCTTTTTTTTTTGGTACATAGATTTTCCAGTTTTTGGATCCACAAGTGAACCGACTAATTTGAAATTGAGCGGGTAGGACCACAAGGGCTGCAAAACTCTCCCTCAAGAGTTTTTAACAATGCTACATTCCCTGGGCTCGAACATGTTCGAGACCACTGGTTAAGCTGGAAGAGACCCAAACCATCTAATCCAAGCAAGATAATATTTCTCTTATCTTGTTTTATCTGATGGATAACTGATAAATTCTACGCTGAAACATCTCCATTTATTTACTAAATAAATAAATTGTTTGTTCTACACTACTCACCACCACCATACCTTTCAGATTCCTCAGATTTGCTTGCAATTTGCAGTATTTACAGAACTCCCTCATCCAGAAAATTATATGCCGCATAAAATCATACTCTATTTATCAGCTGAATCAAATTTTCATCCATCACACTTCACATGGAACGCAGCTGGCCCATTCAGCTGAAACAGTGTCGGGTTGTTGTTGGATTATTCATGTCGTTCTGATTGGGTTGGTATTAAGGGCTGATTGTTATCTTGGTTAGCAGCTTTTGTTCTTGGGGTTTTTTTTTTTTTTTTAATCTTGGAAAAAAGTGAGTTTGTTCGTATGAGTTGTGATTGAGCTAGGGTTTTGAGTGATGGTGGTGACAGGAAATGATCCGTTGGAATCGTTTTTGAAATCGATTCAGGTGGTCAGAAATGCGTTTTCTCCCATAGAATTGAATTTTCAGAAGGCGGCGAAGAATTTCGAGCATTGTTTCAATGGATCCTCGAAAAATGACAACTTGAATTGCAGGGTGAATGATGATGCTGGTAATGAGCAAGTGGCGGCTCAATGGAATTCGAAGATGAGTGGTCAACAGGCAGTCGCCAGTGGTCGTGATCGGAAAAAACCGAAAGTTCTTCCTGTAAAATTCGTTGTTGGTATATTTACAGAGAAGTGGGAAAGTGATGTTCATAGAAAATTGCATGCTAGACGTGATGGGACAGAGAGTACGCGTGTTAATTTGCTGAAGAAAGGGATGAAACAGAGGTCTGAGAATGATTGTGCGAAACAGAATAAGAACTCTTATGGGAATTGCTTGCTTTTGGACATGGCACTATCATATTTGATCAATGGTTTTTTACAGGCCTTCCCAAGACCATCCAAGTCCGAGAAAAAGGGGTTGCAGAAGAAGACGGACAAGGAAAATCTTGGTAGCAAAGGCTCGCATTTTAGTATTCAACCAAAATTGGTGGGGGTTGGTGAAAGTATACAGGAGGTGAAGGCAAGAGAAGGCAAAGACTTGTCTTTTGAGTATGTGATAGGGTTTGTGGTTGATCAAATTAACCATTTGCCAAAATTCGACGTGTCTTTTCAAGAAAATGAGTGTAACAATGCTGATTGTAAACCATCTAATCAATTTGACCATTTCAAAGCACTTGTCAGTATTTTGGAAGGAAAAAGAGCAGATGTGAATGGATTCCTTGGGAATTTGAAGTTTGCACGTGTGGGAGGAGTACCATCAAGTGTTGTTGAAGTGCCATCTGTGAAAGATGAGGGAGCTAATGATACTGTTACTCAGGAAGAAAGTGGTGGAGGCAATTCCTCTAAAAAAATGGCCAATGGATTGCTTAGTATTCCATTGTCCAATGTTGAACGTTTGAGGTCTACCCTGTCAACTGTCTCATTGGCTGAATTGATTGAACTTTTACCACAGATTGGGAGATCTTCAAAAGAAGAACATCCTGACAAGAAGAAACTGTTTTCCGTACAGGACTTCTTTAGATATACAGAAGCTGAAGGTATGTTTTTCACTAAAAACATCGTTTTACTGATATTGTTTGATGATATTACAAGTATATGTAAATATTTTGTTGGAATAAGGAAATTTTAATGGTTCTGCTATAAAAATTTTATTGAGATCGTCTTCCATATGATAATTGTGATGATATATGGTCAGCTATGAAATTTGTGTGTATGTGGCTTTCCAGTTTCATATTTGGCGGGAGTTGGGGTGCGGGGCAGGGGAGGAAGGAGTGGGGCAATTTTGTGATTGGGACAATGATCCAGAAAGCCTAACCTTGTGCTATTGAAAGAGTGTTCAAGCAACTGTTTCTTGCATGTTGAAGACATTTGATAATTGTCACTTATTCATATTAGCAATTTCTAGGCATTAGCTTAGGGCATGCTTGTTTATAAATTCTTTCACTCTCAATTCATACCGTAAATCTAACTCAACTTTAACTCAACCCCACTATCCTTAATATTATACATATTGTTAAATAATACAAACCAATCATTCTTACACATTACATCAACTTTAATTCATTATTCATCCCCTCACATAATTTTAACTACCTTTCATTTCTAGTCATTTACAATCATTTATCTCCTACCTTTACATCAAATCAATTTTAATCATTTTATTTTAAATATTATTTTAATACAATCTTAAAATCCCACTAACTAACCATACCACCTTTTTCAAAATTAACTCTGGTTAACAAAAAAAACTCATTTTGAACGGATTATTTAGTAAACAAGGGGCGCCCTTAACTTAGTGCAGAAGCTAGCATGGGACTTAAGTCAATTTGGTGCCTGATCACTTTTAATAGTCCCATGAGCATGGATTTTACTTTAATTAGTTTGACTGAGAATTTCCTTATTCACTTCCTGCTAGTAGTAAACATGGATGATTTGTTTGGGTCAATAATGTGCAAAGGCTTGCATGTAAATTGGCTCGAGTGATTGTCATTCAGAGAGTGTTCTAATTACCTCAACCTTCATCTTCCCTAATTTGGAGTATTGGTTATCAATTTCATCTGACTTTTCTATTTATTGATTTCTTATTTCAATCAATGAGATTGTGATATAATTCTATTTTCCTTGTGTACAGGAAGGAGATTTTTTCTCGAGCTGGACAGGGATGGTGATGGACAAGTCACTCTGGAGGATCTAGAAGTTGCCATGAGAAGGAGGAAACTTCCTAAAAGATATGCTCATGAATTTATGCGGCGTACAAGGAGTCATTTGTTTTCGAAGTCTTTTGGCTGGAAACAGTTCTTGTCCTTGATGGAACAGAAAGAACCAACAATCCTTCGAGCATATACGAGCCTCTGTCTGAGCAAGTCTGGGACACTACAGAAGAGTGAAATCTTGGCGTCCCTGAAAAATGCGGGCCTTCCTGCTAATGAAGATAACGCTGTCGCAATGATGCGTTTTCTGAATGCTGATGCGGAGGAATCTATATCATATGGGCATTTCCGGAATTTCATGTTATTGCTCCCTTCAGACAGACTTCAAGAAGATCCAAGGTGAATAAGATTTCTCCTTGGGGTAGCCATCAGTTGAAGTGTGCTGTGAATATGGACATTATACTGGAATTTTTTTCCTTATACAATTATTTTATCTGAAGTCTTAATAAACTCATAGGGTTCTACAAAGAATCGCTGGTCATTGTTGAAAATATTTTTGGCTGAAGGTCTAGAGGAAGTGATTAAGTCTCGATATTCTCTCTAGGAACCTTTATTTTTTTTTTCCCCTCCATTTGAGTTTATGATTTCATTCTCAATTTGTCAAGTCAATTAATGCCTCATCATTTTTTATATATAATGGATTTAGATATAATGCTTGTTGACATCTTATCATATCAACTCTCAATAGCAACTTATTTCATACATTTGTGACTAACAGAAGCATCTGGTTTGAAGCTGCGACTGTGGTTGCTGTTCCCCCTCCTGTGGGAATACCTACTGGCAGTGTTCTAAAATCAGCATTGGTTGGAGGTCTTTCTTGTGCATTGTCTACATCCTTATTGCATCCTGTTGACACTGTTAAGGTAAGGCTTTCTCGTAAGGCAAATACATGTGTGTGTAAGGGATGCTTACTTTTGCCTCATTCTTTCTATAATTTGATGCCTTTTAGTAGGTAATGTTTGGGAATTCCAATGACACTGATTTGGTGATTATTTGCTGATTAAATGATTACATGCTGGTATGTACATGGCTTTCAGGTTGGGTATTCATGATTTTTGTAGTTTTAGGATTTGGCTTAAAAGGGGAATTTCATTTTTCTCTACTCATATAATTAATTATTTGTCGTAGTACTTGTCGCTTTGAACTCCTACCTGTCCAGCTAGGTTAATGAATTGGGTGTCCTTGCGCTATTATGATATAGCCGAATGGTCTAGTACTCCATATGTTTTTTTTCAAGTGTGATTCCCACTTCTTGAGCAGCATTCTGTAATGTGACTCGGCTTATTCAGATACTTTTTGACAGAGTGATTATTATTCAAAACAAAGTACGATCTGGTTTGTTGATAATACAACTCTGTTGCTGATGGGATTGATTCTTAATGAAGAGTTTAGAGAACTGATATGTATATATTTCCTTGCACTTCGCTGCTTCAGCCTCAAACACTCAGAATACAATGCTTTTTGTATAGGGTTTTTCAGTTTTAAGATTCAGGGTTCGACACAAGCGAAAATGCGGAGGCATTATACCATTTTGGAGAACAAAATTAATACTATGGGCAGTTTTGTCTCTGCGCTTTTCTTGGATGGCTAACTAGATCTCCCATGCACTTGTGTCTATGAATATCATTTGTAATAATTCGCCGTAGCCCTATATGCTTTACGTTGTCTGTGTGCACTGCTGAGACTCTAACTCTTTTTCTCAAAATTGTGCCTTCATTATTAACCTGTTAGTTGTATAATGATTATATTTATTCTTATTTATTGTACACAATACTTATTCTGGAGGTAACAGAAGCATTTTTTCTCCCAAAAAAAAAAAACTGATCTTTGTCTTTATAGAGGTTAATCTTTGGTGAATAGTTTCTGGAAAATCCTCTGGGATAAAACAATGGAAATAGTTGTGTGTTTACGTGTCTTTTGCAGCGGTTTTCTTATTTCGAAGTCTCAGGTAGGAATCTGATTATTGTCAACTGTTTGTAGACAAGGCTACAAGCTTCAACCCTCACCTTTCCAGAGATCATATCGAAGCTTCGGCAACTTGGAGTTCGTGGATTCTATAGAGGATCAATTCCAGCTATACTAGGGCAATTCTCAAGGTATGATTAGATTATCCACTCTCTTTTGTTTTAAATTGATTACTTTTCAGGATGTTAATTCAATGAATGATGCAGTCATGGTCTCCGAACTGGAATTTTTGAAGCAACCAAACTGGTGTTGGTCAATGTTGCGCCCGCACTTCCAGAAATACAGGTTAGGGCTATATGACGTTGTACCTTGTTGACCTTCTTATTCCTTTCTTTTGGTACTTTGCATTAATTCCGTAGCAGTGTTGGGCTTATTTACTCTGTTGTGAACGGCGTAAAAATGTAGAAGCTATTCTATCCATCTTCTTTGCCCTTGATTGCAAGTAACATCATGAACTACTTATTCATATTGAGCAGAACTTCACATATTCCTAAGCCAATGCTTATTACAATGTTAAATCCCCCTTATTTATAGTTGAGAAAACTCTCTCTCTCTCTCTCTCTCATGGCATATGTTTTTTCATTTCATGCCCTGGAAATAGTGTTCTGGTAGTGGGACGAAGAATGTTACAAATGATTAGGGCTTGCTTGTTTACCAATTATCCCAAGAACTTCAATCTCAAATCAAAATCTAACTCAATTTTAACTCAACCTCGTTATTCTCAATATTATCAATATAATTAAATAATATCTATAAATCATCCTTATCCTTAGACACCACAACAACTTTAATTCACTATTCATACACACATAATTTTAACTACTATCACTTCCAATCATCTATCTCCCACTTTTGCATCAAATCAACTTAAAATCCTACTAACAACTAACAATACCAAGTTTTTTCAAAAATAACCATAGGTAATAAAAAAAAATGTCAAATATCAATATATTTATAAACAAGCACACCCTCAATATCTCAGTAGTTATATTACATTGCCAACATAGTGTACAACTAGGTTGACAACACAAGTGAAAACATCCACTTGTGTATTTTTTATTTATAGATATTTCCACTAATGTTGTCAACCTAGTTGTACACTAGATTGGCATACTAGCATTTTTTCTATATGTATCTATAGAGTTGCTTACGGTTACATAAAGGGGCTGACTTTAGTGTCGGAGGCCTAATGTGTTTGAAACATTGTTAGTTTGCTTCAAATGTTTAGTTAATCTTTTCCTTTATTGTAGTTGGGACTAAAAATAACTTCTCCATCTCCCGAACAAATGAAACCAAATGCAGCTGTAACCCATGTTTTATATACAGTACATGATGTTAAGATAGTGCTTCATGTTCCCATTTGTAACAGAATCTAGTACTGCAATTTTCACCATCGAATAGATATGCTTATTATGCCCACACCGTACATGATGTTTCAGGTTCAATCAGTGGCTTCATTCTGCAGCACATTTCTTGGAACGGCAGTCCGTATTCCCTGTGAGGTGTTGAAGCAAAGATTGCAGGCAGGTTTATTTGACAATGTTGGTGAAGCCATTGTCGGGACTTGGCAGCAAGATGGCCTCCGGGGCTTTTTCCGTGGGACCGGCGCCACCCTTTGCCGCGAAGTCCCATTCTATGTAGCGGGTATGGGCCTCTATGCTGAATCTAAGAAGGTAATGAATGAATGGCAAGCTTTCTGATTTGTCCAGATTATTTCTCCTCTTTTATTTAGTGTCATATGTGCGGAGATTTATGAAGTATTTGCTGTGTTGATTAAAAAAGAAAAAATTATCCCCCATCAAAGTCAGCCTTGTCAAAATTGCAACGCTTACTTGCCTGGATTAATTAATGTGTTAAAATTAATGTCTTAATCTTAAAAGATTCATTAAGTAATTTGAAGTTGATATGATTATCTTCAACTTACCAAATTAGTCGAAAATGGGTCTGGCTTTGACCTTCGGGATGGAGGGTAAGGTAATTTTCTCAATCAAGTACAAGCATAAGGCAATGCTTGATGTTGATATTGGTTATTTCCAAAAATAATGGGATTTTATTTTGCTATTATTATGCGATACATGAAATGTAGTTTCTGAATTTGATTGCTTCTCTAATGTACATTAATTCAAGTAATATTTCAGGCTACCCAGCAGCTTCTGGGACGTGAGCTAGAGGCTTGGGAGACTATTGCTGTGGGGGCTTTATCCGGCGGGCTAGCGGCCGTGCTAACAACTCCATTTGATGTAATAAAGACAAGGACTATGACGGCCCCACAGGGTCGCCCGGTGACTTTGTCGATTGTGGCCTTCTCTATTTTGCGTCATGAGGGACCTCTTGGGTTATTCAAAGGAGCCTTGCCTCGTTTTTTCTGGATAGCCCCACTTGGAGCCATGAATTTCGCAGGCTATGAGCTTGCAAGGAAGGCTATGGACAAAAACGAGGACAACAACACTGGCAGCGAAGCCCTTGTGCAGAAATAGATTTGGCGCACAGCCTTCCGTATTTTCTCTGAGCTGACGCCATTTTAAGGAGAAAAATTTTGTGGCTTTTTAGTTCTTTTTAATTTAATTTAGAAGATACAAACATTAGTTGTTCATTTTTAGAATCTATTCGTCGAAAGTTCCGGTTCCGTGACTTGTTGATTTTGAAGATTGTGCATGGAATTTTATTTTATTTTTAACAGAAGTTTGTTTGTGTTTTCGCCATTCTTTCTTTCCAGTGGTCTTGTATTCGAGCTCTGGGAATGCAGTAGTGTTAAAAATCTTGAGGGAGAGCTTTGCTGCCCTTGTGGTCCTACCCGACTCGATTCCGGATTAGTCGGTTCCCCTATGGATCCGGAAACC